ACTGGTGATAGTGTTAGACCCAGATAGACCCACAGTCAGACACTGTGTTCCCTATCATGTTACTTAACTACTATGTTGTGTAAGCAGAGTAAAGCATAGCTCCGTGTCAATACTGAAAATATAACTAACTTTCTACAAATTACTTTGAACCCATCAAAGGATCACAGTGTACTCACAGATTAATTCAAACTGTTCTTCGTACTAAATTTTTGTTTTGCCATATCTGAAATTTAGAGATCATTTTATTTACATTTTCTTCATTGGATTGCTTTTGTTTTTATTTTCCTGTAAATTGAAGGGGGGAAAAAAGACAAAAGAAAAACAGAGGCCGGGCGCGGTGGCTCAAGCCTGTAATCCCAGCACTTTGGGAGGCCGAGACGGGCGGATCACGAGGTCAGGAGATCGAGACCATCCTGGCGAACACGGTGAAACCCCGTCTCTACTAAAAAAATACAAAAAACTAGCCGGGCGAGGTGGCGGGCGCCTGTAGTCCCAGCTACACAGGAGGCTGAGGCAGGAGAATGGCGTAAACCCGGGAGGCGGAGCTTGCAGTGAGCTGAGATCCGGCCACTGCGCTCCAGCCCCGGCGACAGAGCGAGACTCCGTCTAAAAAAGAAAAAAAAAAAAAGAAAAAGAAAAACAGAGTGGTATGTATAGTGCTACTCCACGTCCAACAACAAAAGCCAAAGTCACCTTTCAGAAAAATGTGAGTCACTTCTAGAGAACACATAAATGCTACTCACCAGAATATGTCTCATCAAAAAATTGCCCTTGCCGTATTTGTTTCCATTTTTACTCTCTATCTCTCCCTTCCCCTTACATATCCCTTGAAGATTTTGTCTACTGGATAGTTAACTAGTGATTCTTTGCAAATTGGAACATCTCTAGAAGTGCTAAGTTTCAAATGTACTTTTCTCCCTCACAGAACCCTGATTTGGTTCAGGTGTTCACCCTCCCTCTCAGCCTGTTTCTCAGGAGGAGATTGAAACACCCTCACCTTGATTAGGGTGGACTTGATTGATCTAAGGGTAATTCCCTCCCCCTTACAATCAATTGGCCTGAGAAAAACATGTGACTCCACTCTGGCCAATGAGATGCCAGGAAAGGTTTCCTGGAGGCTTCTGGGAAATATAAACAGCTCTGTAGGAACAGCTTCATAAAAATAGTATGGGAGACTCTCGTTGAAAATAGCCCTTTTAAAAAAATGAATTCCGACTCTAAATCACATTAGGAAACAGACTACCAACAGAGGCAAATAGCAAACACAATAAATGGGAATATTTGCACTTCAAGAACTAAAAATAAAATAATCTGGCTAGGCATGGTGGCTCACACCTGTAATCCCAGAGCTTCAGGAGGCTGAGGCAGGACTATTCCTTGAGCCCAACAGGTGAAGGCTGCGGTAAGCCATGATTCTGCCACTGCACTGCAGCCCAAAAACCAGAGCAGACTCTGTCTAAAAAAATAAAATAAGAAGAATAAAACAATCTGAAAAGATCATAAGTATATCTAAAATATGTAATGATAAAGATATACATAGCATAAAGAGCATGGGAGAGAAAAAGAGAGATTAACCTCCAAAACAAAAACCCAAACAGAAATTATACAAAAAGCCTCAATAGGTGGGTTTAGTAGTTGAAGAGAAGAATAGTGAATTAGCATAGAGAACTAGGAAAAATCATCCAGAATGTAGTTCAGAAAGGTAAAATGTAACATATGAAAGTTACAAGGGTGGCTCACGCCTGTAATCCCAGCACTTTGGGAGGCCGAGGGGGGCCAGATCACCAGGGCAGGAGTTAGAGACCAGCCTGGCCAATATGGTGAAACCCTATTTATACTAAAAAAAAAAAAAAAAAAAAAAAAAAAAAAAAATTAGCCGGGCATGGTGGCACACTCCTGTAGTCCCAGGAGTCCCTCGGGAGGCTGAGGCAGAAGAATCACGTGAACCCAGGAGGCGGAGGTTGCAGTGAGCCAAGATCGTGCCACTGCCCTCCAGCCTGGGTGAGAGAGTGAGACTCCATCTCAAAAAAAAAAGAGAAAAGAAAAAAGAAAGAAAGAAAATTACAAGGGTAGAGCGAGAAAAGTCAACAAAAAGTCAACTCTAATTAGAGTTCTAGAATAAGTGCATAAAATGGAAAGTTAGAGAGGCAATATTCAAGTGATAATGGCTGAAAACTTTTCCAGAAGACAGGAAAAACATCACTTTTCAAATTGTATAAGTAGACTGAAACCAGGACAGTATAAATAAAAGCTCCAAGGCACATGGTAATAAACCTGCAGAATATCAAAAGTAAAGAGAAAAAACCTGGATGTTATCTAATAAGAAAACAAAACAGAGAGCTAAAATGAATAATAACTAACCTGACAGTAGATGTACAGGAAGCAATAACAGATACCAGGAGGAATGAATAAGATCTTTTAAATACTCAGGAAAAAACAATTTTCATCAGAGAAATCTAAATTCCAGCTAAATTATTATTCTAAGTTAAAAGCTAAATAAAGACAATTTCTGGCAACAGAAACTGAGAGTTGAATGCCCACAGACTCTTGGTGAAAAGAAAAAGTTATAATATTATACCTTGGCAAGAAGGAAGTTGAATCCAAAGGGAAAAATGAGGATCCAAAAAGACAATGGTAACCAAAGAAATCAATCAAATGTACTCATCAGCCTACAAAGTTGACTGGTACAGATCATAATTACAGCTAGTTGGAGATTGCTTAAAAATCAGGATGCAGGCCAGATACAGTGGCTCAGATCTGTAATCCCAGGATTTTGGGAGACTGAGGCGGGTGGATTTCTTGGGGCCAGGAGCATAAAATCAGCCTTGGCAACATGGCAAAACCGAGTCTCTACAAAAAAACATAAAAATTGGCCAGGCATGGTAGCACACACCTGTAATCCCAGCTATTCAAGAAGCTGAGGTGGGAGAATCACTCAAGCCCAGGAGGTTGAGGTGGCAACAAGTGGTGATTGTGCCACTGCACTCCAGCCTGGGTGACAGAGTGAGACCTGTCTCAAAAAAAAAAAAAAAAAACTCAGGATAGTGGAACCGATATAACAGACAATGACATCATAAAGATGGAAGAGAAGAGTTCAGAAGAAAGTAAACCATTCTTGACTTGCTCAAGATGAGAGTAGAAATATTAACCACCTCTAGATTTTGTTAGAAAAAAACATAAGGTCGAGTAAGCACTAAGAATTAAGAATTAGTGGATGATTTCCAAAATAGTAAAAGTAGAATGTATGTCTTTACCATTTAAAAGGAGGCAAAAGAAAATTCTGAAAGCAGGAAAAAGAAAATTTGACGAATTCCGCATGAGTGAAGAAGAGAGATAAAAAAGAAGCAAAGTTTAAAAATGCGGACAAGAGGCCGAAACCAAACTGGTTAGTCTGACAGAGAGAACGTAATGCATAGAATTGCCAACTGCCTGGAGAAATGAAAAAGCGAAATGGAAACACTGAGGGATGGTGGATGTAGCAAAGGCGGGAAGCAGCTGTCACACCTCGGCTAGGAGAACAAAGGAAGAAGTTGGAATTCGTAACAGTTCTGGGGGAGAGCCTTGCAGAGCAAAACCCATGAGAATCAAGTGATGCTCAGGTGGGTTGGGATCCCAGAGATCAGAGAAGGGTCCCTGTGAGGCTGAGTCCCTGACCTCTGAAAAGAGCAGGGACGCTGGGCAACAGGCACTCACGGCCCTGAGAGAGTGTGATGAGGCCAGTTCTGAGAATCTTGGAAAAATCTGAAAACTGATCTCAATTCCTGCTACTGCATGGGACTGCCACTGCCAACCTGAAGACACGGACAGGCGTCTGACTGGAACCAAATGAAAGAAAGCAGAACTAGGACAAACCAGGAAGGAGCAAGCCCCTTCCCCCCTCCTCCAGCCGGCAGCCGTCCCATCAGAAGAGCCTCACAGGGAGCCAGGCAGCAAGGCGGGCATCGGTTTGCAGGGTCCCAGCCCAGCATCTCAGGGTGGAGGATGGCAGGTTTGGGACTGAGAAACCAAAGCTCCATACCCGGCACAGCCTGTCTCGGGCTTTGCTTCCACACACTCCCCTCTATGAGCATTGGAACTCCCAAGACATCTGTGTTTCAACTTAACAAGATGGGAGCCTCTTTCATAAGAAATGGAGGCGTTCCCATTCTCTCCCTTGAATGAGGAGACACAACGTCCCAGTCATCAATGCTGCCATCTCCTGAAAACAGGCCACCATTCATCTCTGGGGTGAGCGCGTTGTTTCTCAAATTCAGTTACAGCCCATTTGAATAATGTGTTACCTAAAGACAAAACTGTAAATTAATCTCCAACAAGACTTGCTCAAAGACATAAAGAGAGGGAGAAGGGAGAAGACAAAATACGTTCATATATAAGCACACTCATGCACACACTTATGACAAATGTGAGAGAGTTCACAGAGTGGCTTTGGTCCCCCTTTCTCTAACTCATCATGAGGCTGTCATTGATGTGTACAGTTTCTTTCTGCACGGGCCATTCTGTTTCCTTTGTCCTTGGCCATGGCTTCAGCTTGTGAGGGTTCTCTACACAGTGACTGGAACCTTTATTCCTAAGGGGTCAGCGACCCTGCATTTTTGTTGTTACTATAGTTTTCCCTTAACGTTTATTATTAGACATGGAAGAGCTAAGGGACAGCCCAGAGAGTCCCCTGGGCTCCAGGGAATCCTCCCTTGCCCCCCTGTATGGCAACAACCACATTTCCTCTTGGTGGTTGTATGTCCACCCCAGCCAGTGGGGTAATGCCCTTCTTTTCTGTGCGGTTCATTGGTGTGAGGAGCCCTGAATGGTCAGATAGAAGTCAACTGGCAATCAATGGAACCACCGTTGGTGCCCTGCTGGAAGTATTCCTCCGTTGTAAAACAAAGTGTCCTAGAAGAGCTCAAATTCAGGACAGCAGAAACCGAAAATTCTAGAAGTGTGTTACTAGGTGGAATAGTGAGATTTCTGACCCCTGAACACTGGGTAAAGGAGACACACATCCATTAACTGGAGAAGTTGACTTCAACTCACTTTTATTTGTTTCTCTCCCCAACTACAGAGGTGTTCTTCCCGCCCCCGCCACCATCATTTAATCAGCCTCACCTGGTAAAATCTTACTAAAAATCCAACTTTTAAAATAATAACTCCCGGTTTGAGAGACTCTCAGCTGTGGCCTCTCCAAATGTATTCACCTCTTCTGAAGCATCAGAGCCAACCAGTTGCCATCTGTTCTCAGCAGCCAGCCCCACACATCTCTGCAGGTAGGACAGCCCAGTTGCACATCCACTACTCCTTGGAGTAAAAGAACATGTCCCCAGCAGACCAATATGGTGCTTTCCATAAGGACGGGAAAACCTGCCTCCTGGTGCTCCCAGCTGCTTCACGATGGAGGATAAAAACACATTGTATTGAGTCAGCTCCGCATCGTATTGAGGCAGCTCTGCATCATTTCATCACCATCCCCAGGTGAAGCAAGATACCAGTGCTGAGGGCCAATGTGCTTCAGTATGAAGCATGTCACATGGAGCCATCTCCCAGGGAAAGGCCCTGCTTCGTGCTCTTCCCCTGACCTGGCCCATCACGTTCCTCCCATTTGATGCCACATTTCAATGACCACGTATGAAGTGTGGATCCAGAACAAGGAGACGTTTCCTCCATGGTTTCTGGTACTCGTGTCACTATTTTATAATCATATTTCACAGCTTATGTTTTTGTCTTCTGTCTTGGTGACTGACACTCCATCCTATTTCCTAAAAGAGAAAACATTAACCATTTATTGCTTTTCATTTTTTTCACATGGACAAAAAAAAAAAAAAGTCATCTTATTGGGTTGAAGTGTCCTTTTGTTCTGCTGTCTACTGGGTTCCTAGAAAAGGCAAAAATTCTGTGTTTGGCTTGTAGTCTACACAGCCATCCAAAATAAGTGACACAATCTACTTAGTTAACAGTAACGCAAAGAAGAATAACAGGAATGAGCATGCAGCAACCCAGGCTACTGTATCCCTCAAGAAGATCAAAATTCTTCATGAAGATCAGAAAACACAGCGGGGAGGTATGGGGGGAGAGTGAGGGGCAGGAGAAGAGTGAAGCAAGAACAAGTATTGAGCATCAAGGGAACATTTTTTAAATTTTCAAAATTTAGAAGGATGGGGCCATCTCTGGAGTTTGAGTTAAAGAACACCTGGTCTCACTTACTGCTTTTTGGCAGGCCACATACGGTGAGGGAGAGATATGTCACTTGCAAAATGTACATTGTGCCAAAACACAGCACCCTGGGAAACAGAAACGTGCCAAGGAGTAGGTTCTGAAGACAGTCGTCCTAGCAAAGTCTCGGTCCTTGATGGATTCCAGCTCTCACAAAAAGAAGTTTTGCAGGAAGGATTTACATTTCTATTTACTTCCAAAGAACAGGTTGTGATTGCACAGGGTGGGTGACATGTTTAAAGAGAATGAAGTTACACAGTGGCATCCCCCACTAGAAAAATGCATGTCATCTTCTTCATTGGCTCCTAAGTAGGGGACACCACGGGCCATTTGCCCTTAATCTTGGCAGTCTAAAGATCTGAAGTGCCCTGGTGGCAATATGAGAGAGGAAAACAAAATGCAACCTCATTTCTTATTTATTATTTCAAGCAGAAAATTGTTGTTAGAAACATATATATTTAGGACTGACAGTTCAGCCTGCCCCACAGAGTAGCTGGACTGTTTCAAGACAGTCAACAGAATGCCTTCTGCTGGTCTTTGGAGAAGGAGAGAATTGCTACGATGCCCTTCCTCAACCCTTCCTCTGCTCTCCACAGCTCCCCCTGCACGCCCCACCCCACCACCACCAACCACCAGAAGGCCTCCTGAGGTCCTGGTATTGTCTAAGTTCACTGTCATGCGTTAGCATCACCATGTGCTTCTGGGAGGGTTGAGATGTTTTGAAAACATGCTGAGGCTAAATGATATTTATGGGTCTCTTGTTTTGCCCTCTCTGTTTGTTACATTTCTCTTATTCAGCTCAGATCTGCTCATGAAGATAAAGCTGCCTTCCTCTCCTAAATCAAGGGACAGCGAGGGCCACCCCCACTCAACTTCTTCATCCCTGCCAAAGCCACAGTTGTTTTCTGCCCACAATTCTCATGCTAGGAGGTTCCCAGGAGAAAGAGCTGGAGGAGAGTCCAGAAGTCAAGAAATATACTCCTTCTAGGGCTTTTTTTCTTCCTGCATGTTCAGAATTTGTCTTTTCCCTGACTTAAAATAATTTTGTTATGATACCTTGTGGTGGCCGCTAAGACTGGAAGGGAAACTTACAAGTTTGTCCTTGTTAAAAAGGAATGTCTCAACTCCCCTGCATACCCATGGGTTTTTATTCAACCTTCGAACTCCTGATACATTCTGAGCTTTTTGTAAATTTTTCTTTTCATTGTTAAGTGCCTAGGATCTGCCTGGCGTTCCGCTTTTCTTTTGATCTGTTAAATTACGCTTTTTATTTATACCTGCAACAAAGCTGAGAAGGTGGGGGGAGCAGGAATGTCTTTCGCTGGCTTTTGATGCTTTCAAAACAAAGTCACGGAGAAAGCAGCGGCTATCATTTATTATTACTGCTTTTATTATCAAAACACTTGGCCACGACTTGGCTCTTGCCAGTGATGGGGGCTGGGTGGGAGCCATGCAGAGACATCAGCTCTATGAAGGAAGCCGTGTCACCTAGCTGGCCCATATCTCAACACAGGTTCCTTCCCCCCTTGGAGACAGGACCTGGTAGTAAGTTGAGGTCATGTGTGCCAGGGAATGCTTTGTCACACCAAGGCCACCGAATGGTAACTTCACAAGCACCTCACACCTACAGATCCAGGTATGTTTGTGGTGTGTCTTCCTTTCCAGATGCTGTCTGGAAACTGAAGAGAAGGCTAATCAAGGACAGATCTGGATAGAAAGGGACACGCAAGGACCAAGCGTCTAATTGGGGGCTGCCCAGGTCTCACCGGTGCCTGCTTCCCTTGGAGCATTTCCACTGCACTTCACGGTCAATCCAAGAATCAGCGAAATTCTCCTTTTCTTTTTTCCAGGTCTTCCAAGAGCTACAGGTTCGAACAGAAGCTGCATCTGTCCGGCGTACAGGTTGTCACCTGAGACAGAGAGGAAAGGCAGGATGGGGACAAAGACCAGGACCTCATGATCAGTTGAGGAAATTCTCTGGTCTTCACAGCGGCCTCTGACCCTTGTGTTTCCAAGTTTCCGTGAGTGCCAGCAGTTTCGATTACAGGTTTACAAAGCTAAGATCTTCAGGAAGCCCCTGGTCCCTTCACTAACTCATGACTGTTAAAACAGAACATGACAGTGTCTTCTAGACACTCGACCAAGACATGTCACTTGCAAAGAATACATTATGCCAAAGCACAGCACCCTTGAAAATAGGAATGTGCCAGGGACAAGGCTCTGAAGACAGTCATCCTAGCAAAGTCTGGGTCCTTGACAGATTCCAGCTCTCACAAAAAAAATTTTGGAGGGAGGATTTAGATTTCCATTTACTTCCATTATTGTTACCAGACGGCCTCATAGCCTATTTTTGCTTTTTCCCATATTTCATACAGATTAGTTTTTAAAGAAAGAATTGTGTTGTGTGCAGAGATAAGAAGGGAAGAGAAACAGTTGAATTTTAGTAATTCACTACCAATTCCCAGACTCGAGCTAACTATTAGTTTTGATTCCCTCTAAAGATTGTATTACACAAACAATGGCATTTCTTTTCCTTAAAGCACATTTGTGACCATGTAACCCAATGAGTCAGTTTATCATGTAGGAAATTGGACACAGGAAAGAAGGCTGCTCTGTCTCCATCTTTCATGAGAAGGTTCACAGCAACTCTAGGCTCCCGCCAAGAACAAAGTAGAAATGGAGTGTTTATTTCTCTATTACACACCCTGCTTCCCCTTCACAGATCGTAGGGTTCTTCTGTGGGCAGAGGGCTGCCAGGATGATGAGATGTACACAGCATTATGAGAATGACCTCTTCTTTGCTTTGGGAAGGGTTGCCTGGGTCACCTGGGTCAATGGAACAAAACTTCCAAAAGTTCAGCATGTGTTCCTTCAGTATGGGACACGGAGGTCATAGAAACATAGCTTGAGTTTGCCTTCATTGTTATTTCCCATTGACGCTCATGACCGACACACTGTCATAGACGCACTCCACCTTCCTCCCTTGCAGAGCAGGTCCCTCCAGCCCACAGCCTACTGTCAGCCCAGAGCCTGGCTCTCAGTAACACCCACAATATCTGTTGCATCGACTCTTCCTGCTCTTCCGGTCTCTTCCTGGAGCCTCTTCATCCCCTCCTGCCATCCATACTCACCTGTGCCCTCCATTGGCTGGTGTTGTCATCTGATCTAGAGACCCACTGGAACAGGGAGACTGTGTGCCCCCCAGGTCAGTACTGAGAGCCTCTGCTGCCCCTTTGTAAACACACCTTACCCGAAAACAGAGATTCTGACTGAGGAATTCCAGACATCTCTGGAGAGACCTCATATACAGAACCTTCTCAGTGTATTTCATCAGCCATGTCCTTTCCAGCCTAAATGGTCTCCCTGACTCAGACACTCCCAAACTGAGAAGCTTCAGGGGATTTGGAAATAGCCTAGAACCTGAAGCCAAGAAGACCAACATTGGAATCCTAAATCTGTCTTTTCCTGAGTATTTTCCCCAGGCAAATTTCACTCAGTTTCCTCGTCCATTAAGGAAGTAGCTTTATCTGCACTACAGAATTTTGAGGAAGAGTAAGTGAGCTGCTGTCACACATAGTTTAGAGAACTAAGAATGAGGCAACTTAAATAAAAATAACTAACACAGAATTTCTCGCCCTTAGCAGGTGTGTGATGCAAGTGCTGGCTGCTAATTGGTTTTTGGTTTTGGTTGGGGGAAGGAAGATCCAGGCCAGTAAAGATGGTCTTCACAGCCAAGATGATTGATAAGGTTAGAATTACTAAGTTTCTGATCTCAGTCCATCTCCGAGGGGTGACTTGGGAACTCTCCCACAACCTCCCTATTTGCTTCAAATTGTTCTGGCAAACTGCTCAATGGCAAAGTGTGGAGAAGGGTTTTCTATTGGAAAGCAGATATAAACACCTGCAGAAGGAGGTGCCATGAAGAAGGTTCACTCTGCAGCCTTGAAGAGGCCCAACTGATAACAGAGAAGCTTGCAGCCACGCCTAAGAACTGAGAGGTTCACTGAGCATCACAATAGAAAACCAGCTCCGCAAAGCTTTAGCCACAGATGTAGGGCTTTGGCAGGAAATGGTTGGGGTTGTGTCACCTTCTTTTACTTTCTGAAATATTCTAGAAAAAAATGGCTTCTATTTTATTCTTGCAGTAGATAACTGTGGTCCTATAAACTTCACAGGATCAGCTCATAGGGTACAAGGTAGGAGCCATCATTAATGTTTGTGACACTCTTTCTTGGCAGAGAAACTTTAGAATACTACTAATAATAATGGTCTACAGTTACCCAGAACTCACTACGTGCCTGTCACTGTTCTGAGCACTTGACATACAATAAGTCACTCACTTCCTTTCTGACACAGATACCCTAATCACATGTGAGGTAACAGTCTTTCAAACTGGGCGTCACAAATGGATTTTCTCCTTGCAGAATGGCTGCCTCCAAGTTAGAAAAAAATTCTTTCTCTTACTTATGTGGGAAGTTCCACCCTCTCTAATGTCAGATGACCACGAGAACCCCTGGCATCGCCACTCACACTGGCCTGAGCATCGCCATACCCTTTGAACTGTCCCTCCCGTTGTGGTCTCTGGGATATCATGCAATCCTGTGACTGCTGTTTTTGGTTCATTCAGATGGGTTCTGTTTACAATGTCAGCACAGGCTAACCAGCATAGACAACACTTCTTTTCATAAAAAGGAACTTCAGATACTGTGTTTTTAAGATAATTAAATGAGATAATGCATGTAAACCTCTGAGCATGGTGCCTGCCCCAGGGGAAGGGGTTAGATGGTTTGAGAACTACTAGAGTGCTCACCTGTGAGGGCTGCCATAACAAGGGACCACAGACTGGGTGGGTTAAATGGCAGAAATATACATCTCCCAGTTCTGGAGGCTGGAAGTCCAAGATCAAGGTGTCAGCAGGGTTGGTTCCTTCTGAGACTGTGAGGGAAGAGTCTGTTCCAGGACTCTCTCCTCGGCTGGTAGATGGCTGGTTTCTCCCTGCGTCTTCACATCCTCTTCCCTTTATGCATATTTGTGCTCAAATTTCTAGTTTTTGTAAGTACACCAGTCATCCTGGATTGCCCACCCTAAAGACCTCATTTAACCTGATTCCTTCTGAAATGATCCTATCTCCAGGTAAGGCCACAATCTGAGGTACTAGGGACTCCAACACATAAATAAGATTGAGGGCAGGTGGGCACTCTAATCAACCCACTGCCAAGGGGCTGGTGTCACTGCACCGCAGTCAGAGAGCTTGCTGCAGGGACAGGGGGCTGGGGGACTGGCCAAGCAAATAGATAAGACAAACTGAGCCTGAAATCTGGCTGGAGACCAAGTCCTCAAGGGCTCTAAGTGCTGATGAGGACAACGGGGGTGCACAGAAAATAAGCCCCTCGCCCAGTGCTGTCTGAAGTCTACCAGGGAGGTTGGGTGAGGACATCCTAAGACTTGAAGAAACAAAAAAGCCTCAGGGCTGAGCCAGAATCCGGCTGACCCAGCCATGGAGGGGAGGGGCCACCACGGAGGCCAAGGAAGTGCTCCTGCTCCCTCTGAGTCTATTAAGTCCCTTCAGGGGCATTAACTCTTTTGGGCTCCAGCTTCGTCATGCAGTACCGTGCAGACGTTGCCAGAGTACCAGCCCTTCAGGAATCCTCGAGAGCAGTGGCATGAGGGCATTCAAGCCGGATCCTGCCCTCTGGGGGTTATGATCTGATAGAAGGCAAATGCGTGTGTGAAAAAATAAAACATGGAATCAGAACTGAGGGGTCTCAAGAGAAAATCAGATAGAATAATAGGGTTCAGGAAAAGGCAGCATATTCATCTCTGGGGGCACAGTAATATATTATCACAAACAGCTCTGAGGCTAGAAGTCCAAAGTCAATGGTTCCGCTGGGTGAGTTCCCCTGGGAGGCTCTGAGGCAGAACGTGTCTGGGCCTTCTCCTGACTTCCAGTGGCTCCTGACATCCCCGTGCTCCTTCGTTTGTAGACATATCGTTTCAGTCTCTGCCTCCATCCTCACACCGCCTCTCCTCTGTGAGTCTTCTCCTTTTTTTATTTTAAAAATACCCGTCATTGGATTTGGGGCCCGCCCTGATCTGGGATGATCTCGCCTCAAAATTCTTACCTTAATTACTTCTGCAAAGATTCTATTTCCAGACGAGATCACCTGCACAGGTACTGTAGGTTAGGACTTAGACATATGTTTCTGAGGGACATAGTTCAAGCCACTGTAGGCAATTAACCTCATTGAGAGAAACAGGGGAGGATTTGGGGGTGAGGGGCAGGGGGCATTCTAAGCTGGGCCTTGTGGGGAGAGGCAGGATTGGGCCTTTGGAGAAGAGTGGAAAGGACGTTTCAGTAGAGGGACAAAAGGGATGAAGGCCCAGAGACGCAAAGCACCCTTCACCCACAGAAGACAGCAGCCATAGCAGAGGAGGGCTGGACGGGATTTGGTATCTGCCTGTCCCATCCTTTCTGCTCCATAAGCTACTCCCGTCATCCCCATTGTCATGGCCATGACTGACACTGAGTTAAGCAACAAAACAGAAATGTTGAATGAGGAATGCCCATCCCCTCCATTCCTGCAGAGCAATTCCAGCTTGGCCTACTCCTGAGTTATTTCACTCCAATTCACTTACAAACATGTGTGTGCCATCAAAAGCATCCAAGAGATCAGCATGACCCAGGAGTTAGCATCTCCCTGCACCTCAACTTTGGTGATTTGAGAGTGAAAAAGTACTCTCTTTATTATGAAGACAAACCCTGGTATAGTAAGAAGGAGACTTCAGCGGCGACATGGGATCATAAGTAAGAAGGGAATGATAATTCCCACTTCTCAGGTTTATGGTTAGTTGCAAAGAAGATCAATTTGTAAAATGTGTAACAGAGAGTCTGATCTAGGGGATGGCCCCAGTAATGGTAGAGAGGGGAAAACAGAGGACTTGGGAGACTCTCTTAGACTCTCGTTGTTGTGTCTCTTCACTAGAAAGATTTTAGGAAGACTGGCCCAAAGAAAGGCACCATAGGGTACAGGGATGGAAAGGCACAGTGTGACCTCATCATGGAAGGGCTTAAACATCAGCCTGAGGAATTTCTACTTATCCTGTAGCTAATGGGAAGCTGCTGTCACAAAAATCAGTGAACTCAATGTCTTGTGCCAGATTAATATAATGCAAAGAGTTAACAATTACTTGGTGCAGTTGTGCCATGTTAATCACTGATATATTACATGCCACTTTTTCTGCTCTTTGCAGAGTAGCCTAGAGCCTTGCAGAATGTAGTATTATTATCTAGCTAATTGGAGACACACATTTCATTTGCCACCAAAAAATAAGGCTCACATAGTATTTAGAAAAGTTGTGTTTGCAAAATGAGCCACCCGTCCTGGCTGGCAAGATAATCCTTTTCAGCCAGTCATTTTGTTGCTAGTCATTTTGTCGCCCACTTGTGCTCTTACTGTTCAAATTTGTTAATTTCTGTTTTTAAAACCCACATTGAGTCAGACTGAGTTAACTCTGTCGTGGGCATTTCCATTGCTCGACACAGAGCTTCTTAGCAACACCAGAGTGGGACTTTTGGCAAACGCTGTTTATCCACCTTTGAAATTAGACATTCATTGCCAATGCATTTAAAATGAAATTCCTGTAAAAAGCTTTTATTTTCAGTGATAGTTTTTGCCTTTTTTGTTTCACTTGCCCATAACTTTCTGGAAATTTCTACTTTGGGCTGAATTTTCTCATAATTGTTTTCAGTATAAGTTTGCTTTGTTTTTTATTAATGGAAAGTTTAAGGGGAAAAATCCCTTTGGTAACTTTTGAGTTATGAGATTATTTTTTTAAATACACTTTTTCCAAGTAAAAGAAGCCTTTGAACATTTTTTAAAAATCGAAATCTTTGCATTTGAGGACTATAGTGGACTCCAGGCAGTGGTTCCCAGTATTGTCTTCACTTTGGAACCCCTTGACAAACTTTTAAAATACTGATGCCTGAGTCAAAGATTCCGAAGCAACTGGACGGGGTCCAACCCAGGCCTTGGGATCATTGGTAGCTCCCCAGGTGATTCTCATGTTCCAGATTCACTGAGTAATCTCCTCGGACACAACCACCCCGAATATCCAAGCTCTAAAAAGGATGCAGAGGTCTTGGAGGGTGCAGAAGGGAAAATCAATTCTTACTGGCACTAATTTTCTTTCCATTAAGAGAAAAATAGTTGGCCAGGCACAGTGGCTCACGCCGGTAATCCCAGCACTTTGGAAGCCGAGGCAGGCAGATCACGAGGTCAAGAGATCGAGACCATCCTGGCCAACCTGGTGAAACCCCATCTCTACTAAAAATACAAAAAATTAGCCAGGCGTGGTGGCGCACGCCTATAGTCTCAGCTGTGGGAGGCTGAGGGAGGAGAATCACTTGAACCCGGGAGGCAGAGATTGCAGTGAGCCGAGATCGTGCCACTGCACTCCAGCCTGGAGACAGAGTGAGACTCCATTAAAAAAAAAAAAAAAAGAAAAAAAAGAAAAAAACAGTTATACTTTTTACTATGTGAAATATACAGCTCTGAGAAAGATATGAAAAAAATTTGACTCACAAGTCTTTATGTAACCCACACCCAACTAGTCAACTATCACCAGGCCCATCACTTTCTGTTCCTTAGGGAGAGATTCACTTTTCACCACCACTCATAGTGAGGAACCTCCTGCCTGGCTTTGGACAAAGGGTTTCTCTGTATTCTTGTGGCCATCAAAGAAAAAGAGAGAAACTCTGGGGAACCAACCATTGTCCTGGTTCTGTGGCCACCTTTTCCCATCATTGGGGGTCTTCTCCTGAGCTTTTGTAAAAGTTTTAAAGAAATTCCTCTACCAAGGGCAGCTAGGATAGAGTTCCAGAATGGAAGTATGACTTCCAAAATGAACCACAGAGAAAACCATCCTCGCTACCACAGAGGAAATATGTCCTCCCTCCCCATCTGGGTAGAGCCTGGTACATAAAGTCCCAGAAACCAGAAGGTAACTCACCCTCCTCCTCCCTTCTGACTCTTGGGGCTCATGGATCTCCTGCCCTTTAATGACATTTCATCACCGTCAGCTGCAGAGCCATAGCCAAGCATGCTTCATGCTCAAAGATGGACCAAACCAGAATTCATCTGGTCTATGAGCCTTTACTGAATGCCGATTATATGCGAGCCCTGTGGAGATGGTATCAACATTAACAGGACCCAGCCTCTGCCCTCCTGGAAAGACGGTCAAGCGGACCACCGCAGGGGACACCCTTGTTCGAGGACCAGAGTGTCTGAAAGCCACAGGAAAGTTTTTCTGATCACTATGAAAGTTTAACATGTTCACTGTAAAATAACTCGGCAATTTTATACCAAAGCAAATAGTCCCATGGAGTAGATTCCAGCATAGACAAATGTGAGTTGCAGATTTGTTGTAAATATGGGGAGAAAATTTAAAACGAAGCAAATTTGATCTACCAGGTTAAATTGGTCTGTGAATTGGGAAGAGACTGCCATTCTTGTGTTTCGCAGCAGAACACTGCAGACCAGCTGAGGGACACCAAGCAGGGTTCCCAGGAAGACATCTGAGGACCCTGTGCTCTTAGTCACACTCATGCCAAGCAGGTCCCTTCATCACCATAGAAGAAACTCAGGCCCCTGTGTGATTGTGTGTCTCAGACATGGCTCCTTTTTCAGGGGAAAAAATGGTTTCCCTGTTGAGAAAAAGCAGTACAGGAAATGTTTACATATTTTACTAATTTAATGAGCTCTGAGTAAAATGTATAAATCTTGGCATCCAGGGACCATTGCAGAAATTCGTGAAAGCTCTTGGAATCTGCCTTCTTTAAAGTTTTCAATCCTATCATGACCAAAACACAACAAACAAACAAAAGTGTGCAGGAAGGCAGACTAACTCTAGGGCTGAAAACCTGCAGGAAGCTGTCCCACTCAGGACTCTCGGGGGACCTAGGCAGCATCCCCCAGTCTCCTCATGTTGACTTCTGCCCAGGGATGCAGTGTCTCCAGGATTTGATGTTTTCATCTGGCCATTTTTGCTGACAATTCCACTTTCAGGACTGTGAAGTTAACGTTGTCTCCCTGTTTGTTCCTGGGTTAGGCTTTTCATATTTCCTTTTTAAAATCCTGTCTTCTCTCATCCATGGCCATCAGGAGCACTTCACCTCCTGCTGTGATGGCTCCAGCCCTTCTTGGGGAAGGCTGTGGGAAGTCTCCCCTCTGGCTGGCTTCAAAAGCTTCTCCCATAAAAGCTGAGCAAAGGTCTTTGTCAGATTTATTTGGAAAAAGGCTCCTCAGACATGAGTAGTGAATAAACTCTAGAAAACAATCTGTTGAGTTTGTGAATTAATACATGTTTTTGGACTTCATGCAAACATTCTCAATCCCCATTCTCAGAGGTCCTAGTTATCTGCAGAATTCCCCTTCAGTTAGGAAGTAGGTTTTTCATGTCTATCTGATAACCTGGCTTTTTATTTGAAATGCCTCCAATGAGAGAAAACAGGAACTAAGTGGCTCTCATTTAAGGAAACAAAACTCCTATCTGCCTATCACATTCTAGAGAGTTTAAAAATGAGAAGAAGGAAAAGAGCCACCAAAAAAATGTAATTTCCTCTTTGACAATTATTTCTGAATAGGATCTTGAGCAATCACACTCGAGAGGGTGAGGTTTTTGTCCCACTGAAGTTGCTCAGAAGTGTGCAAACCGATGCCCTCCTGATGCTGTGGGGCTGGCCCAGAGCTTTGTGTGGTCCCTGCATGCGAAGATTTGAGTTTCTGTCACTCCCGCCAGCTCCAGACTTCCTGGAGCTTTCCTGGTCTCTGCCTTTAGCGATTCTGACTTGAGTCTGACTTGAGAGTCTATTGCTTTCAAACCACCTGCCTGTCCCTTCCCTTTGTCTGTATCTGTCACATTGTAGGATGCTCCACAAGGCAGAGAACTGATACCAACCCCTGACAGAGAAACAAAGGCAGGCATACTTCTGGTCAACTTAAAAGTGTATGTATGTATGCATATGTGTGTATTCATATATTCATATGTATATTTATAAGTTGAATTGTGTCTCCCCAAATTTCCTGTGTGGAAGCCCTAGCCCTCAGCACCTCCAAATGTGATAGTGTTCGGAGGGAGGCTCTTAAAGAGGTGGTGAAGTTAAAGTGAGGCGGTTAGAGAGGGTCCTACTCCAGTCCAACTGGCGCCCCATAAGAGGGAATGTGGTCATGAGAGACCCCAGGAATGTGCACACGGAGGGAAGACTAAAGCGGGGTGCAGTGAGAAGACGGCCGTCTGCAAGCTGAGGAGAGAGGCCTTGGAGAAAGCAACGCTGCCCACACCTTGGTCACTCCTAGACCCCAGGACTGGAAGGAACACATTCCTATTGTTTAAGCCACCCAGTCTGTGGTATTTTGTTATGGCAGCCCCAGCAGACACATGTGTGCATTTGTGTGTGTGTGTGTGTGTGTGTGTAATATGAGGAACTGATAAAAGTTGGAGTGGTTAGCCACGAGGCAAAGCCTCCTCCCTGAATTAATTCTAGATCACTGAATCACCTGGCTGTTGCCCAGCAGAAGCCCCTTGTCTACACTGTGGATTGAAACATGCCACCCCTCTTGACTCCATTCTGAACGGTGTGACAGGGCCCTTTCTGGTCACAGCCCGACACACGTTCCACAGCGTCCTCCTGGGAACCTTGGCTCCCTCCTTTGTAATGAAGGACCATGAAGATTTCCAGAAGAGCTAAATGTGAATCCCAAATCCCAACTGTTAGTTTTGAGATATGCCTGTTGACAGCAGCTAATAACTTGGAAAACTGAAAGGATGAGATAGGAACGTGAAACACGCCTTGAGTTTGGGAGCCATGGCCATTTTCCAACTCGCTTAATACTCAGTAAAGCTCCATGCACCTTGTGGGGACTCAAAAGTATTTCTTGACTGAGTACAAATAATAATGCAATTAAGTTTCCAGAAGTATCTCAGTTCAACTCCTTGAGTACCCAAAGAATGTCAGACTTTTTTGGAATTTCTGAAAGTTCTACCCAAAGTTCTGGATACTCCACCCTTTAGTTTTGCATCCTGAAAATTCCCTTATATGTCATTTTTATCCATAAGCACTTATTTTTTTAGCATCCACTACTGATTGATTTTTATTTTATATCTCTCTGGTCTATTTTAAACTTTATTATCTTAAACACACTAAAAAATGCATCATGGGCTCACTGTGAGAAATACTATATCAGTAGCTCCCTGAGATGCTTTAAAATAAAGCTGGATTGCTTCCACTAAGAACGAGACTAAATCAGTGCTTTTTAAAGTTGCATTTGCGATGCATTGCACTGTTACCCTGGGGGTACATGTGCAAAAGTCATGGTAACAATGTATGGAGTCACTATTTGTTTCAGGCATCTATTGCTGAATAATAACCACCCCAAAAACTCAGTCTCCTAAAACAACATCAGTTTCTGATTTAGCAGGATTCTATGGGTTGGCTGGGCAGTTCTACTGTTGGTTTCACATGGGCTCACTCAGATGACAACATTCAGGATTGCCCAAGACAGCCTTACACACACATCTGAGAGTTGGTGTTGGCTGTGGGCTGGGCACCTTGTCTCTCCTCCACGTGGTCTCTCATCCTCCAGGAAGCTTGTATGGCTTCCTCACGTGGCTATCTCAGGGCACATTCAAGAGGGCAAAGGTGGAAAATTTGAGGCCATTGGAACACAGTATCCTTTTTTCTGCATTCTATAAGTCATGAGGGCAGCCTCACATCACGTGGGGAAGTAGACTCTGTGTCTTGATAGAAGTCGCCGCAAAGAATTACGGCCACATTTCATTAACCACAAGATTGCAGCAGA